TCCTTATCAGGAACGGTGAACACGCCCACCACCCTGTGGCCCTGCTTCCGCAGCTGGCTGTACACTTCCTGTCCGAACAGGCTCTGCCCAATCAGGGCCAGCTTCAGCGTATTCTGGAAGCACACCTGTGGAGGAAGGACAGAAAGCAAAAATAGGTGACAAAGCCCTTTTCTACCGCGTGGCGCTACTGCAGGAATACTTCACTATTCCACACAACCAGCTCCCACTCTCTCACGGCCATTCTGTAGAATTCAAGCAGCCCGTTTATCTCACACACGGTGCACACAGCACTCGCTTGAGGCACCCAGGGGTTTAACTCTCTGCACGTGTGCATCAGTGTGACTGACTGCTCACCCCGACTCCTCCCCTGAACACTAGCCTTCGGTCTGGACAGAGCACAAGCAGAGAGAAGCACCAGGTCAAGAGAGACCAAGAGAAATGCAGGAATATTTTGCACCTCCTCCTGCAAAACAAGTTAAAACATGCAGGAGCTGCAGACCAAACCAGATCTTGGCTGATGTCAGTTTCCTGACCTACAAGTTCAGAGCCCTGAAGGCTCTCACTCTGCTTCAGGTCCACCTGCGGTTAACGTCTAGGTGTGACTGTTGTGCACAGAAATGGGACCAGGTGTACAGAGCTTGCCTGGAGCCTAAATATGTTTATTCACGTTGCAGTATCAAAGGCTCGCTATGCAAATGATAGACAGAGATGCTACAGGCTAAGTACTGTGCACAGAGTAAAAAACAAAAACAGCCTCAAGAAAACAAAGTATTCTTGTTTCTTAAGACTAAAGGCACAACCTGAAGAGAAATACACTAATGCTCATAAGACTGCAGTAAGTCAGTGGACGCCTCCAGGCATCTCGGACAGCTGTCGAAGCTCCACAGCTGTCTGACAGCTCAGGAAGAGAACAGTCTTCAAGAGGGGAGGCCTTTCACAGCAGAGCTCCAACCCAGGCAAACCAAGGCTGCAGCCCTGATAGTGTTACACAGATCGCAGTGGGTCGGAGTGGGTCGAAGTGGGTCGAAGTGGGACGAAGTGGGTCGAAGTGGGTCGAAGTGGGTTATATCGGGAGAGTTCCTTTGTCCTTTACTGCCAGGACTAGACTTGGGAATGCAGAATGAGTATGAATACAGTATCCTCCATTAACTGTGTGAAACATGAGGAATAAAAACTCTAGGGAGAAACAAGCAGTCTGTGTGGGTACACACACCTGTCTATATGTAATGGCAAAGCTGCTGGATTGCTTGTGGTCTGTTTTCCGTGCACAAGCATGCACACTGCCACACCAGGGCCAATTTTCCCAGAAGCCAATTAACCTACCAGACTACCCTACCAAGGCACCCAGGGGAAACCCACACAAACCCAGGAAGAACATGCGAACTCCACACAGACAGCACATCTGCATATCCAATTAATAAGCCTGGTACCACGTACTCTGAGGCCTTGACCTGCTGGGCGTTAACCCTCTGTATTGACTCCCGGTAAGATAAAGCCTTCATTCACAGTCTCCTCAGAAGGGGGAAAACCCACAGCCCCTCTGGAAAGGGTTCGATAGCTAACTAATGCAGACAATTAGCACAGTCTTCTTACACTAGCTGACTTCCACTTGATAAAGGCAGAAGTGCGGGCCTTATGCACCCAGCAGTTTTCCACAGAGCCTAAGAGGAATCGCATTGTAGGAGCGGGGAAAGTCTCAAGCACAGTGGCCTGAGCCCAGGAGAACACAGCAGCGAAACGGAGAAGGTCATTCAGTCTGTCGGCGAGTTAGAACAGAAGGGTGGATATTATAGTTAGCTCAATGTCTGAAAGGGAATAATTTAATTGGACAGTTGGCCTGGAGCGTACGTAATTATCTGAGGCGATCAGGTGCAGCGCGATTATTCCAACTCTTCGCGTCTTGAGGCGGCGTAGCGATGGGGGAGGGGTGTCTCAAGGAGGAGCGGTGCTGATCTCCCGGCGCAGTTCCGGGGACAGAGCCGAGGCGTCTAACGTTGCGATCTCGATTCATAAAGCAGGAGATCCACGTCCCCCTCGCAAGATGACACGCTGGCGGCCCCGCCGAGCGCCCAGTTAAAAATAGCAGCGATCGGCTGGGCAAGGCGACGGCGCAGTGCAACAGGATCCGCGCAACGTGTTCCCTGGATGCCGGGACTGCTGATGCAATTCATAATCCAGGAGAAATGCGTCGAATCCTGGAAGGCAGCCAGCAAGTGCACCGCGCATCAACGTGGCGGAGAAGAAAAACGAGGTTTTCTGAAACACTACATATGCGACAGCACATGCCTGGCTGAGAATACGATCATTCAGCAAATAGTTTCAGAATGCAGTTAAACACCAGTACAGCAAGATCTCACGACGTCAGCTGCAACGTGTATACAGTGCAACTCATTTGATACATTGTTTCCTTGCAAAGATTTGTTGTTTTTTTTTCCAGCAGAGACTGGTGAAACTGTTTAAACTTCCTGGGCTACGCGTAGCAACAGAGACACAAAATCCATATGCATCGTTTTTATATGATTGCACTGCAAGGTACGGTACAACTCTCACACGTGGGAGGAAATCAGGTCTTTAATGATGTATTTAAATATACTCGATAAAACGCGAAATAGTTCGTGTGAAAATTCAAGATTTAGAGACTCTTTATACTACAGCGAAGGCCCTGTGTTTTTCACTGTCAGTGCAAAGAGCTCGAATTTGCTTCTAACCTCTTGTGACAGCGATGCTATGCAACACAGCAGTTCCACAAAAAAATGACAACCAATTCAGCTACTCACGGGAGCTGTGGAGAAATTCCTAATGACCTGCCTGGCTGTCCACAGCATGATGCCGGCCACCCAGTGGAGCTGTCGTAATTGTTACTGGAAGAAAAAGGAAGAAGCCTGCTGCAGAGACAGTGACCAGTGCTCTAGACGACCCCGCACGCCTCTCTCATACTGTGTGCAGCAGGAGACCCGAACTCGGCGGAGCTCCCACACGCGACCGGCGAGCGCGCCGGCCGACGTGCGCGTCCCCGCTGTCCACATCGTGCCTGCGCGTTGACTGGGGAGCTGTTCCTTGGTGCGTAGCGAGCACGTCTCACACATTTGACACTGCCCGTTGTATTGGTTTTTAAAAAGAGCACTTGATTCAATTTGACACGAAGGACTGTTGTACAGACTTCTTCAAAGTGGAGTAGGGTTTAAGGTCTGCAATGTAAATAAATCAATGTACTCTGAGAACAGTGAAAGGGTCGTTGGGTGAGACAGGGCTGCAGCCTGAGCCCAACAACGTTCAATATCTATTATGATGTGGTCCTAGAATTTGGCACTGCTGGAGCAGGGCTGGCAGACCTGGCTATCCAGAGAGGACAGGTTTAGTGACCACGGCGTGGACACAGAAACTGGACACAGGCAGACCTGGTGCCCAGAGAGGACAGGCTGTGCTCCCACTGCCAGCAGGGAGAAACAGAGACAGAGGTGCACTTCCTACTGCACTGTGGGATTAGACATTCTTCTTTAAAATCACAAATCTGATCCCAGAATTCCCACCTGTCAGAATCAGAACAGCTTCGAAACCTGCTGGGGAAGCAGGACACTCACGATACTCTCTAGAGCTGCAGTCCAGCAGGCAAGAGCCTCCGTTGGTCGTGCAAGTTAGTCCTTCTGAACTGAGTCGAATTGAAACCAGCCCGCATCTCTCGGCGGCAGGCACGCAGCGAGCCCCCCGGGCCACGCCCCCCGCGCGCAGGCGTGAGTGGAGGGGGCGGCTCCTGATTGGCTGGCGGAGTGGGAACGGCAGGGGCTTGCGCTACTGCGGCCCCGCCCCTCTACCATGCCTCGACTGGACACGTCACAGGCTGGATAAGGGCCGCTTGCTCGCCGCACTAATCGTCTAAATGGGGCTTCGCTTATCTTCACCTGTTTGTATCGCGTACTAATGCCAGGTTACTTGACCTTGCAATTATTTACGTCTCTTCAGCCTCTATTAAACGCAAACCGGCACGCATTCAGCTCCCCTGCGCTACAGTGTTTTATGGGACAAGTACAGGATCGTCCCGAGATGGCAAGAAGAAAGAAGAGACACGGTGTTTGGGCAGCTGAGACTCACGCCTGACCTTTGCAGTTTTTACATCTCTCCGCTCTTCCGTGTGGAGTGGACCCCTGCTTGTTCCTTTTCAGCCAGCACACGCTGACGCAGCTCTCCACCCAAACGTCACGCCCAAGATCTTTTATTTTTAACGTGCTATGCCATACCCTTTCTAAATGAAATAATGTTTAGGACTAATTTAATTCTTATACCTAACCGTCTCAAAGCACTTTGCTCACAAGAGAATCCTCTCTTTGCTCAACTCTGAAATGCAGCTCCACTTGGGAAGAGGCAGCAGTCTCACGGGACGCCTGCAGATTAATTTATTCTTCGTACATTAAAATCCTACATATCTCCATTGTTGGACAGGAGTTCTTCGATACGCTGCTTTCAAAGCATTATTGGAGCAGTGGGGTCTTGGCTACGCCTTTTGTGCTTAAAATGATTCTGTAGAGTTTCAGCCATCACAGGGGGTCACAGGGGAGCTGGGGCCTGACCCGGTCAGCACCAGGCGCAAGGCAGGATATACTCTGGACGGGACGCCAGTCCATCACAGGGCAGACGCACAGTTACACCCGCGACTAACCCACCAGTGTGTCTCTGGAGCCCCTGGTGTGTGTCTGTGTCTGTCTGCCCTGTGCTGGACTGGCGTCCCATCCAGAGCGTAACCTGCCTTGCGCCCTTGGAAGGGGCTCCGGCTTCCCAGCGACCCCCGACTGGATGAAGAGGTTAGAGAATGTTAGGGCAACCAAGGCCAGTATCTCAGGGTCTCCCATGTGGAGTAAGAGAGAGTGATCGAGACAACAGGCGCAAGCGAGGTTGGGTATCCAAAGCCGAATGGTAAGCCAGGGCTGAGGTCCAGGAACGAGAAACGGGATCAGAAGCCGAAGGCGTCTGCAGGGAAATCCAATCCAAATCGTAAGGCAAAGTCGTGGTCAAGGAGCGAGCAGTGAGGTGCGAGTCCAAAAGGGCCGACCAGACAAGGCAGGTAGAAGCTCTAGACAAGAAACGGGTACCGAGCCCCGAGCAGTGCGCACTGAGGGTTCAGGCACGGCGTGTACGAGGAACCGCCGGGGGTGATGAGTCACTCGTGCGGCGGCGCTTGTGGTTAAGGGGTATCCGCTGCAGCCGATCAGCTCGTTGGCGAGAACTGCACTGAGGGCCGCTGGTGGTAACAGAGAAGGGGTGATCCCTCCGGCTCGGCCGCTGTCCCGCCGGGAGGCAGAGGCAACAAGTCGCACGGTGCTGCTGAGTACCGGCTGGGCCCTGCTTCTGTCCCGCCGCGTCACCTGAAGGGCTCATCCAGGGCACCCCGACCTGCCGGACACGCTGCACTGAGGCTTCTGCTGGAAACGTTACCCCGAAATAAGAAGGTGTGTCAATACTGTGTTGCACGTCGGAAAACAGCTCTTTTATAGGAGCAAAACCAAGCAAGGCAGCACTGACTTCAATTAGACAAAAAACTAAATGAGAGACAGGAATAACAACGTTCATTGCAAAGTGAAAGTAAAAGCCCCCCCAGAAAAGAAACAAGTCCTGTGTCTGTTTGAGGTCTGGCGATCATCAGTGTCTCCACTGATCCAAAGGTTGGGTCTGTCATTTGTCTTGTTCTTTATGGGTCCAGGGGTCAAGGGATCCAGGGGTCAAGGGGTCCAGGGGTGTGATTTGTCTCAGGTTTCTTCCACAATCCCATATATACTAACCAGAGCACCAGTTTATATAGAGAGGACCACAGCTGCTGTTAGTCATGGTAGTAATAACCAGCAGCCCGAGCTCTGGCAGCTGACAGCCTGTCACATACTGCTACAATAGGATCACTGGGGCAGGATAGTTTTAGGTTTCTGGACTTTGTGGGCTTGCCTGTGGGTTGGATCTCTGCGGCAGACACTGCTGGTGTACCCTGAAAGAGGTACAGTACTTTACCCCCATTTGCTCCAGTCCACCCACCCGTATTAGTCTGCATTGCTGTGATGGACTAATGTGCTGTCCAGGGCTACCTGCTACCTGCCCTGAACTGTCCTCTCCGACGTTTACAGGTGAGATCTGGTTTTACAGCAGTGGTTTAACTCACAACCTCCCAGGCTCTGCCAGACCTTGGCTTTGTCCTCAAAGACAAAGGACTCCATGGATTCCTGGCAGCTGGCTGCTCCTGGGTGAATTACGAAGGCAATGACCTTGAATTCTCAATTGTCGCCAGCCGCCGCTGTCTTACTTTAACCCCTGGCCGGTGGAGTTGGCTGCTCTCTGCAGTGAGAGAACAGGCTGGGTGGGGCCCTGGAAGAACAGAGGAGTTCCCCCAGGAGGAAATCACCCCGACAGCTCTGGTGCTTCAGCTGGTGAGGCTCTCTGCAGCACACTGCATCAACAGCCCTCTGCTGCCCTCAGACTCCTGTGGACTGTGTCCATGATCGTATTAAACACAGGAATTTAATTAATAATAATTAATAATTGCTTACACTTATATAGCGCTTTTCTGGACAATCCACTCAAAGCACTTTACAGGTAATGGGGATCCCCTCCCCCACCTGGATGATGCGACAGCAGCCATAGTGCGCCAGAATGCTCCCCACACACCAGCTCTCAGTGGGGAGGAGAGCAGAGTGATGGAGCCAGTTCAGAGACGGGGATTATTAGGAGGCCATGATTGGTAAGGGCCAAAGGGAAATTTGGCCAAGACGCCAGGGTAACACCCCTACTCTTTTCGAGAAACACAACACACTGGGATTTTTAATGACCACAGAGAGTCAGGACCTCGGTTTTACATCTCATCCGAAGGGCGGTGCCTGTTTACAGTCTAGTGTCCCCGTCACTACACTGGGGCATTAGGACCCACATGGACCACAGGGTGAGCTCCCCCTGCTGGGGTCAGTGTCAGTGGAGGTCAGTGTGTCTGTAGCAGGGCTGCCCAGTCCTGGTCCTGGAGAACCAGTGTGTCCGTAGCAGGGCTGCCCAGTCCTGGTCCTGGAGAACCAGTGTGTCTGTAGCAGGGGTGTCCAGTCCTGGTCCAGCAGGGCCAGTGTGTCTTATCATTATTATTATTATTATTAATAGTAATAATTAAACTGATCTCCTGTCCCAGCCTGAGGAACACTGAGCCTTCTCTCAGTAAAAATAAGACAGTGTGTCACTGAGGAGCAGTGAGTCTGTCTCTCAGTAATGTGTTTTTTTTGTTATTTCTGCAAATGTCCAATAATGTTTCTATTGCTAATGTTCCGTTAATTGCTTCTATTTTGGCAACTCTGTAATTCATCCGTCGTGCCAGTAAAGAAAGTGTCCCATGACGTCTAATTTCAGACTGTAACACTGGCGGGACAGTACTGCCCAGTACGGTAGTTCAGCCACTGCGTGGACGATGCTGCCTGATGTCTATTTCTCTTAACCCAGAGCCAGCACGAATTGTCCTGCTCTTGTCCTCGTCTTAACTCCCGCAAGGCGATCAGCGTGATGGCAGCGCCCTCTGCTGCCCAGGCGCGGAAGTGAGTACTGACAGCGGAGAGAAGCGCACACGATTATTCACGGATTTGACCTCCTCCGTCAAAACGGAATTCGGACTGGTGTCCTGGATGGATAGATAGAAACGAGTCATTTATATACTTCACACAAGGGACATGCACAGGAACACATTAATACACAAACACACGCTACGTCCGTGTTCCCCTGTTCTGCCTGCGCAGAAGCTCTTCAGATCCCGGGCGGTTTTGGTCGACCGGTAGAGTTTTCCTGAGGCGGCTTTTTCAAACGCACCGGGTTCTGTTCTGGCTGAGAGGAGTCGTCGACCATCATTTCCGATCGCCTCTTTAGTCTGAGTGTGTACAGGTCTCCGACAGACGGTGACTCCCTCTGCATAGCGGACATCTATAAAAACATAAGAAAAGCTGCAAAGGAGAGAGGCCATTCAGCCCCAGTCTGCTCGATTTGTCAGTAATTAATTTATTCCAGGATATTATGCAGCTGTTTCTTGCAGGAAGCCAGGCTGTCAGCTCCTGCAGTATGGCTTGGTAACGTTAGAGTTCCACACCCCCACAACCCTCTGGGTAAAGCAGGGCCTTCCTGTTCTTGCTTTTAATAGGAACTTCCATGCAGTCTGCTGGGGTGACTTTTTCAGGACCTTCAAGGATTTGAATACTTGAATTAGCTCTCTTTGTAGTCTTCTCTGTTCTGGACTAGACTCTGTTCTGGACTAGATTCAACTGGGTGGTGTGGTGGTGCTGTGGCTTAGGATCTGTGCCTGTGGCTGGAAGGTTGCTGGTTCAAATCCCATGGATGGCAGAGGAATCCTACTCCCTTGGGCCCCTGAGCAAGGCCCTTCACCCCAGTTGCTCCAGGGGTGCTGTATAAATGGCTGACCCTGCACTCTGACCCCTAGCTTCTCTCCTTGTCTTTGTGTCTCATGGAGAGGAAGCTGGGGTCTGTGAAAAGACAAATTCCTAATGCAAGAAGTTGTATCTGGCCAATAAAGTCATCTTATCCTATCTTAACTTCCTTCAGCCTTTCAGTGTAGTTCACTCCTTTATTCTCTGGAATGTGTCTGGTTGTTCTCTGGATTGATTTCAGAACAGCAATATCCTTTCAATAATGTGGTGACCGAAACTGAACACCATATTCTAAATTATGCATTACTGGTGCATTATACTATATATTTTAACATAATATACCTTGACTCAACGCACACAGAAATGCCTCAACGCACACAGCCTAATACAGCTTTAGCAATACTGTAAGTCACCTGTCATTACAATTAAGCTTTTTTGAGTTTGAACGTAGGCGTTGTATAGACTACATTTCCCACAGTTCCTCGCTCGAGGGAAACAGGAAGTCACGGGGTAAATCACGGGATCCCAAAAAATTGGCACTTCACATTTGCTCGCCGTCACTGCAGCTGAGAAAACGGACTGTGGTGATGGCGGTGGAGACAGTCTCTCCGGATTGGGAGTTTGATCGTTTTGACGACGGGTCTCAGAGTAAGCGATCTCGTTTATGTGGGTTACGGCAGACGAAGTAACGGAGAGTTTGGTGTTTTGTTGGTGCCTGTGTGAAGGAGAGTGAAAGCGGAACTGGTGCAGCTTGGTAGTTGTATCTCGCACAGAAAGCTGGCAGTCAGGTGCGACCTGTGTTGTTTTCGTCTGTCGGGACGAGCCGTGGCAGCTCGAAGTAATGTTTATTCATTGACAGTTGTGCAGTTGATATTTGTGAAGGCGCAGAAAAGCATACCGCGACGAGTAAGGTGTTTTTGTACTTCCGAATTTGTGGGAGCAGAGCCGGCTGTCGTAACGCCAGAGTGATCAGAGCTGCCGCTGTGTTAAAAGCCTTTGGGTTTCGGCTGCCTGTCGTCCGGGGGCTCTCCGGTGAGACTCGGCTGTACGTCTGAAGGTGGGTCATTGGTGTCGTGATTTGGGTGCTTTTTAGACCCGGCGCAGAGGTGCGTCTGGTTTCTGGACCTGGAGCTGTGTGTCGGCTCGGGGGTGTGTCATGGGGACCCCCCTCCTCCTGGCCCAGCGTGTAGCTCTGTGTAGCAGTGGTCGCCCATCCTGAGGGCGAGAGTTTGGGCTCTGAGGTCCAGGGCTGTCTTGGACCGTGAGTCTCCACACCGGATATGCTGCGGGTTCAGAGCCCGCTCTCCTCTGAGGCGGCTGGACGCGATCGCCGGATCCAGCCTCCCAGACAGGCTCGACGGGTCGAATCTGTATCTGTGCTTATGTACTGTGCACTTTTCCGCCCGTATTCACCCGAGATTAGCACAGAATAAACCGTTTCGCTTCTCCCTAGGTCTTTCGCATCAGCACTGTTATGCATGTAGTAATACTAATTCTCGCCGTCGCAGCAGCTGAAAACGGGCTGCGGTGGTGAATAATATGTTGCATAGTGAAGAAGTTGCACGCCTCAAAATGCAACATATTATTCATCTAGAACCGTCTTGATTGAATTGAGCCTACCTTTAGTGCCCCTAAGGGAATTTGTCTTGCACATCAAGAGCTCATAGCATGTAACGTGAATGACAGTAACACAATACAGCAACAATACGGACGACAATCAACCCCATCCCTCAAGCAGAACTCAGTTATACATCATAAGATTGAAAAACAGACGATTAGCTAGTACAGGGTCTAAAAACAATAACATGATCCCTACCTGCAAACTCTGTACATTGCTCAACAATTGAATGTTAGGTGTGGAGGAAATAAATGCTCTCTTAGTCTTTATGCAGGGGATCTGAATTTCTGGTACGAAGGGAGCAGGAGAGCATCTTCTCAAAAGAGGAAAGGATGAGAGGGGTCTAAATTTGATCGCGAGATAAATAATCGCCCCGTTAGGCATGTTTTTGAGTTCAGGAATGTGCCGGTAATCTTGCCACCCGTCCAGATTACTCTGCTTGACTTGTTTTTGCTCTGCAAGGACACAGCAGCTCCCCAGCTCTGAACACAAAAGGTTAGAATAAAACTCGCATAAGAAAAAGTGTCAGCATTGTGCTTTCCATATGGAAAAACCTTACCTCTGTATTGAAGGTCCAAGATCATTTATAATCAATAAAGATCTGGCTTTCGTATCTCTTTAGAGAATAGAAGTTCTTTGCCATCCACTATGAAAACAAAAGGAAAGGAATCTGTAGCTTTTCGGTCAGTGGGTCAGGAGTTCTGGGGTCAGCTGGGCTCATGTCAAGGGGTCAGGGGCTGGACTGTAAAAAGGTGCCGTCCAGAATTGCTGTGGTCAGTAAAAATCCCAGGGCGTTTCTTGAAAAGACCCTGGTGGTGTGTGTACTTGACAAGAACTTGATTGTGTTGCAGCGGTTTCAGTGTGGTTGAAGGAAGTTCTGTCTAGCTGCTGTGAAAGAACCCTTCTACACGGGACTTGCAGTTCATTTTCCTAGGTCTAGAAAAAAAAGCCCTGGAGCTCTTTCTTTTTTGCCTTTGCAGTCTAGGTCAGGAGACACTGTAGTGCTGTTAACATAATGGGTGAATTGAGGGCTTTACTGGGCATGTGGAACTGAAAGTAAAGGAGCTTTCGCAGCCTTCTCGTTCGGTGTGCAGTTCCAGTGCGGTGTTGTAGTAGTGTCGCATTGCAGCATCTTTTACAGAAGAACCAGGAGGACATGCTGCCGTTGCTGATGGTTCTGTCTGTGGAAAGGTGGCGTGGGAGCTTGCGGATGGTAGTGTAACTGTTTTGTAAGGATGAAGGAGACGGCAGTCCGTCAGCTGTTTTCTCTGTGTTGTGTCTTACACAGTGTGGAGAGGGCTTTGGCGTTGTGAGCCGCACACTCAGATAGTTGGCTGTGTTTAAGATGAAACGGCAGCGGCGCGCTCTTGTTTATAAGGCAGGAGCCCGTGCTGGGTCGTCCTGCTTGGCCGTGTGTCTGGAGAGGCGGGCTGTCGGATCTGCGGGACAGAGGCGCCTGCGCTCCTGCTCGACAGCAGCCTGGAGTGGAGCGCCGGTGGGCAAGCTGCCCAGCCCCCATGACACAGTCCCGGGATCCCCAAGTAGCATCCCCAGGTTGTGCAAGAGATGAGCAGCGCAGGGTGGTGCGCAGGACGAGCTCCCTCACTCGTGGTCGTGCAGTTCCTGTGTGAGCAGGAGGAAGTCGGGGAGGGGGTGCTCCGACAGCGGACTCAGATTTCCAGATGGCAGAGTTGTGTCCCGGAGACGCCCTGTAGGCAGGATTCTGATAGGCAGAAGAAGGCGGCATTTTGTGTGAGCCCTGCAGCCCGAGGCTGTGCTGGATTGAGCTGACTCCTGCTCGCTCTCTGGAGAGCTGGAAACTGGAATCTCTCACGTTTCGATCTGGGAGTCTTACTCCAGGACAGTTGCTTCTTTGCTATTGCTGGCGTTTACGGGTGTTTGGGTGTGTGCAGGGCCGTGTGTGGGTGTGTTCGGGGGGGGGTATGCTGTTGTGTGCAGGTGTGTGTTGTGTGCCGACAGTGTGTGGGTGTGTGCAGCCTGTAGATGCCTGGCAGTGCGCTGTCCGCAGCTGGGCGCCCCCTCGGCCTGGCTGTGCCCCCGCTGAAGCCCTGCACCTCTGCTTCTCAGAAATCCACGCGGAGGTGCAGCTGAAGAACTATGGCAAGTTCCTGGAGGAGTACACCTCCCAGCTCCAGGGAATCGAGGACGCCCTGGACGAGTCCATCGGAGACGTGTGGGACTTCACCCTGGATCCGATCATGCTGCAGGTACCCGTCTCGGGGCCTTCAGCCTGCTGGAGGGGAGGCAGTCTGAACCAGGAATCGAACCTGACAGGCAATCCAGGGCACAGGAGGCCGCCATCAGGAACTCTGCCACGAGCCCCGTGTGTCCCTTTTATTAGGTCACGAATGTGTTGACATGGCAGGTGACTTAGACAGCTCCCCGCACCGCTGAAGAGGGGGAGATGGGAGGTGTGAGACCCGCAGGCTGGGTGATGCCAGCAGCCATATCACCCTGCAACTCACAACTGGCAGCCCACTGAAGCTCAGCAGGTGTGAGCCTGGTCAGTACCTGGATGGGAGACCTCCTGGGAAAAACTAAGGCTGCTGCTGGAAGAGGTGTTAGTGGGGCCAGCAGGGGGCGCTCAACCTGCGGTCTGTGTGGGTCCTAATGCCCCAGTGTAGTGACGGGGACACTATACTGTAAACAGGCGCTGTCCTTCGGATGAGACATAAAACTGAGGTCCTTACTCTCTGTGGTCATTAAAAATCCCAGGGAGTTTCTCGAAAAGAGTAGGGGTGTTACCCCGGTGTCCTGGCCAAACTTCCCATTGGCCCTTACCAATCACTGACTCCAAATAATCTCCATCTTTGAACTGGCTTCATCACTCTGCTCTCCTCCCCACTGAGAGCTGGTGTGTGGGGAGCGTTCTGGCGCACTATGGCTGCCGTCGCATCATCCAGGTGGGGCTGCACATTAGTGGTGGTGGAGGGGAGACCCCATTACCTGTAAAGCGCTTTGAGTGGAGTGTCCAGAAAAGCGCTATATAAGTGTAAGCAATTAGTATTATTATTAATTGTTGGACGCTGATGTGCATGTGCCTAGGTGCGCTCACTATCGCCCCCTGGCTGCCGGTGAATTATGCAGCACGGCGTCGTGTCTCAGGCACAGTAGCTGTCTAGGGTGACATGACCGCAGATTAACAAGCCGGTTCCTCTGGGACCGAGCCAGAGCTGTGTTTTGTGAAGCCATGTCTGTGTCTTTCTGTCATTCGCAGACGACAGTGTGACGAGACGTGTTTTCTTGTCCTTTTCAGCTTCTTCCCTATGAACAGTCCTCTCTGCTGGAGCTGATCAAAACAGACAATAAGGTAAAACAAACCAGTCGCCCTCTTCAGCTCACTTCTGTTTTGCAGATTGTATTGCTTGGCCTTCGTGGTGGCGTTTCGGTTAGTTCACAGCACCGGAGTCCTGGGCTCAGGTCCACCCTCTGGTGTCTGTCTGTGTGGAGTGTGCATGTTCTGCCCAGGATTTCTTCCGGGTCTCCAGTTTCCTCTCATTTTCCAGAGACATGCCAGCTAGTTTTGAGTGTCCCTTTTCCCTGTGCCCCTGTGCCCCCATGCCTGAGCTCCTGGGATAGGTTCTCTTCACCCGGGGGGATGCGTGAATCTCTCTCTTATCTCAATGCTTTCTTTCCAGTTCAACCAGTCATTTCTGCTTCCTTCTAGCTCTGCCTAGAATGAGTAGTATGGATGGGAGCGTGTTCATTCAATTCTGATGTGTTATTAGTGGGGAGGACATTATGTGAATGGCTGGGTTCATGTAAGGTCAGGTTGCCCTGCTCTCCCTTACTGGAGCACGGTGTGGTGTTAAAGTACTAACGCAGTCTGGGATGTGCAGTCCATGTGGAGAAGGAGGAGGACCCATGCCTTGGTGACAGGGGTACCTGTAACACAGGTGTGTGGCCTGCAGTGGGTTACTGATTACTGGGTATCGCCTGGTGTTGCGGATTGTGCCAAGCGTAGGAGGTGAATGACCAGGTCAGTGACCTTGTATTTTCTTTAATTTTAATGTTCTTACAAGCTCAGAGGAATATCATGACCTGCCAAGAGCTTCAGGATGATCTGTTTTTTTATTCCATTTAAGTTCCATTCCATCTGGGTTGTTTAATCATTTTATGTATATCTGATCAATCTTCGTTTAAAAAAATTCTCACTCCTAAAATAAACGGACAGCCGCCAAGAACTACAGTAGCTCTAGTAAGTCCCTAATTAACCACAGGACTCTATTCTCTGTCACTGCTTTGCCACCACTGACTGGCGGATGACGACATTAATCTGTACATGGACTGTGCTACTAGCTATGTCAACAAATGCATAGAAGATGTTGTCCCCAGGATTACTGTTCGCAGATACCCAAATCAAAAACCGTGGGTAAATGGCGAAGTACGAGCTAAACTCGGAGCTAGAACATCCACCTTCAACTCTGGAGACAAGTACACGTACAGGAAATCCAGATCCGATCTCAGAAAAGCCGCCAAGAAAGCCAAATATACACTATCACGACTACCGGGACACTCGGAATATCTGGGATGGAATCCACACCATCACAGATTACAAACCAAAACACGGCACCACGACACACATCGCTTTTCCCCCCGATGAACTAAATTCATTTTATGCTCGGTTTGAAGTCCATAACACGGAACCAGTTAAGGAAATCCCAGTAAACCAGGGCGAACTCCCACTGTCTGTCTCCAGAGCTGACGTGTACAAGTCTTAAGAAAGACTAATCCACGCAAGGCTCCTGGCCCCGACGCTGTCCCTGGTCTGCGCAGATCAACTAGCGGACATCTTCACAGACATATTTAATCTCTCCTTCACTCAATGCACAGTCCCCTCTTGCTTAGAGAAAACCACCATCATCCCGAACCAACTGCCTAACTACCGGCCCGTTGCACTCACATCCATCATCATGAAATGCTTCGAGTGGCTGATCAAAGCACACATCACCTCCTTACTGCCTGACACCTTGGACCCACTGCAGTTTGCATACCGACAAAACAGATCAACTGAGGACGCCATCGCCACTACTCTACACACTACCCTCTCTCCCCTGGACAAGAAGGAAACGTATGTGAGAATGTTGTTTATTGATTACAGCTCAGCATTCAACACCATCGTACCCTCAAGGCTTATCACCAAGCTCCAGGACCGAGGACTAAGCTCCCCTCCCTGCAGTTGGATCCTGGACTTTCTGACGGGCCGACCGCAGGTGGTGAGAGTAGGCACAAATACATCCTCCACGCTGACTCTGAACATCGGTGCCCCCAGTGCTGTGAACTCAGCCCTCTCCTCTACTCCCTATTCACCCATGACTGCATCGCCAGGAACAAGACAAACTCCATCATCCAACTTGCGGACGATACAACGATCATCGGCTTGGTCACGAACGGTAGAAACACTGACAGCATGATGTCAGGACAACAACTTCTCTCTGAACGCCAGCAAAACTACAGAGCTGATCGCGGACTGCAGGAAGCATCGAGGAACAGACCACGCACCCATTCACATAGCGGGTCCGCAGTGGAGAGAGTCAACAGTGTCACATTTCTAGGTGTCAACATCACGGACGATCTAACCTGGACCCACCACACCAACCCCGTAGCCAAGACAGCACGGCAGCGCCTGTTCTTTCTCCGCAGACTGAAGAAGTTCGGCATGCCGTCACACATCCTGACCGACTTCTACAGGTGCACCACTGAGAGCATCCTACCCGCCTGCATCACTGCCTGGTGTGGTAACTGCTTCCCCGAGAGCGCCAGGCACTCCAGAGGGGGGTGAAACTGGCACAAAACACTATCGGCTGCGCTACTGAACACAGAGAATATCTACTCTGTTAGATGCCTCAGGAAGGCCAGGTCTGTCCTCACGGACCCCAGTCACCCTAAGCACAACTTGCTCTCTCTACTACCATCCGGAAAACGGTACCGAAGTATACAGACCAAGACCACCAGGTTTCGTAACATCTTCCCCCGGGCAGTAAGAATGCTAAACAGCCAACCACAGCAGACACCTGCAGTTACCTCCTTGAACTGACAGGGGGCACCAGCGCCCTCCCTGTCACTTGCACTCTCAGGACACATACGAAGAGTGCTAAATACCTCCTACCCTTGTGTTACTTTCGCACAATCTGTAAATTGTACTGTAAATTGCAATTGTGTCATTTATTGTATCCTAATTTTTTTCTTTTAGTTAATCTAATCCCTATAAATTCCTGTCCTTCTACTCTTCTATCCCTCTTAACAAGCTTGCAGACAAAGCATTTCATTGCCGACAACTTCGCTGTATGCTGTACTGTTCGTGCATTGATAAATAAACCTTGATTGATTGATTGAGGTACAGTGTAATTCTGTTTGTAATTGAGTTGTCTCACCTCCAGAATTGTACTTGACATGTAATAACAGTGAAAGATATCTTTAATTGTCTGGTGACCATTTCTTGTTTTTTTAAATAAGCTCAGACATATTTGTTCTTATATTGCATGTCTGTGATTATAATGATAATAACTGTAGCATATTTTTAACTGTAATTGGAACATCAGAGTTATTTCAAATCACACAGCAGCTGTAACTATAACTGAAAGAGGTCATAAAGCATGGGTGTGGTTCATTGGCTCACCTGTTTCCATCAAGATTGTTGTAATGGAGTAGGAATACATGCTTGTTATCCTTCCCCTTACCCTCTTGACTGGGGAAAAAAAGAGTTGCTAAGCTGCTCTTGAGGTGGAGTTTAGTAACAATGATGATTTTCTCTGCAGGTCCTCAATAAAGTAATCACTGTGTATGCTGCTCTGTGCTGTGAGATTAAGAAGCTGAAACATGAGGTGGGAGAGTTTTAATTGATTGTTTTAATTGATTGAGTAAAGCATAAATTAGTGTTGATCCTTGTTCGTGATCAGTCATTCAGACTGTTGATTAGGATTCATCCCAGTGTTGAGCCCAGATTTTAGATTAGTGGTGATGTTAGTGTAGAGCTCAGACTCTAGGTTATTGTAGAACTCAACCTCTAGATCAGGGTTAAATCCCTGCGTTGACCTCACACTATCGATTAAAGCTTTAAAATAAGAATATGTTTTTTAAACATAGAAGAATTCGGATGTGTTTCCTGCCAGCCCCCTTCTGTATCCGACTGTTTCTGCCTGTTTACTGTTTGCGCCTCGGGTGCAAATCCTCACGCCACACAGCTCTCGTGACCGGACGCTCGAGTGACTGAGATCTCTCCTTGCAGGCGGAGAGCCGGTTTTACAGCGGGCTGCTGTACTACGGTGAAGGAGGTAGGTAGGCCGGCCGGTGTTTATACGGGTGTCTGTGCCAGGGGTTGCAGAAAGAGCTCAGGTTCACTGTGGCGGAGTGAATATCGCTGTATTCCCCCCAACCTGCACTCTTTCCGAAGCTCTCCTGCCTTCCCCTGCCCAGTGTAGAGCGAGTGTGGGAATCCGGGGGGTGAGCGGAAGGCCAGGGGTTCATCATGCCTGTTTTTGCAGCTTCGGAGGCCAGTGTGGTGGAGGGGGAGGCTCAGATCCAGATGGGCAGGTTCATCTCCTTTCTGCAGGTACGGGAAGCCGAGGGCAGCTGCGGCTGCAAGCCTGCATGTGGCTCAGCTTGTCTAGAGAGGAGGCCTCTGGGTAGTGACTGCCTGCCTTCTGCTCTCCCCGCTGTGCGCAGGAGCTGTCCTGCTTCGTGGCGCGGTGCTCGGAGGTGGTGGTCAACGTGGTGCACCAGCTGGCCTCGCTCTACAGCAGCAGCAAGTAAGACAGCCGTCACCTGGCGCCTCGCCCTGCTCTTCCAGCGGCGGCCCCCGGACCGAGCTGGGGCGGGCAACGCTAGCCTTGTGTTTCTTCTGTTTCAGGAGCGCAACCAAAATCATCGAATCGTCTGGTGTCCATTTTCAGGTACGCGACCCAGTCAATCCCCTTTCCTTCGACAAAGCGGCGAACAGTACTTGCCCTGCCCGAAGCGCTCGGTTGAGATGGGGCCCGGTGTCGTGGCTGCCGGAACGATGCCGTGGCTTGTGGGGGGCGCAGGAGTTGGCCCCCCTACAAACAGCACAAACGATGAAAGCCGCCTCAGTCATTCGTGCTGTGTTTGTGCCATTGAAAGTAGTGTTTGTGCTGCTTTCGTCTCCGAGATACAGTGCCTTGTTTTTTCGGGGTCATGATGTCACCCCCCCCCCCCCACGACGTTGTAGGGAAACCAGACCGGTCTCGTTTGTTAGTGCCACGTTTGTGCCGTTGAAAATAACCTCCCAGCTGCTTTCGTTCCCGAGATATAGCACCTTCTTTTTCGGGGGGTGACCTTGCCCAGCCCCCCTACAACATCACAGGGGATCTGGACCGGTCCCGTCTGTGTGTGCCGAGTTTGTGCCATTGCTTGTGGAGGGCCCTGGTCTTCACCGGCCTGTCGCCCCTCTCGCCCCCTCTCTGCAGACGGTGTACGAGCACCTGGGCGAGCTGCTGGTGGTGCTGCTGACCCTGGACGAGATCGTGGAGCACCACGCCACGCTCAAGGAGCACTGGAAGATGTACAAGAGGTGGGTGGGCCGGAGGCGCGCGGGACCCCCGCAGCCCGAGAGCCATCCTGCTCCGCGCCAGCTGACCCAGTCTCCCGCCCTCTCCCCCCCCCCCGCAGGCTGCTGAAGTCCGTCCATCACAACCCCTCCAAGTTTGCCGTGCAGGAGGACAAGCTGAAGCCCTTCGAGAAGTTGCTGCTGAGGCTGGAGGGCCAGCTGCTGGACGGCATGATTTTCCAGGTCTCCCGGCTCCGTTCGCGTGTGGGACAGGGCTGAGGTCCGGGCCGGCTGCAGGAGTGTGGGAGCGTGGGAGTGTTTTTCACGGTGCTGTCTGTCCGACTGTCTCCCGCTCAGGCCTGTGTGGAGCAGAGGTTCGATAGCCACGGGGAGGGGGTGCCAGTCTCCAAGAACAGCGCTTTTGCTGAGGAGTTCGCCCACAACATCCGCACGATTTTCGCCAATGTGGAGTTAAAGCTGGGTAATGGCTGTTTTTATAATAATAATCAGCTTTATTTTATATAATAATAATCTTTTACACTTCTATAGCGTTTTTTGGACACTCCAGCGCAGGGACTCCAGGACAGGAGTAATGTGATCACTTTCTGGAGACATGGTCAGCATTTGGTCTGAATTGGAAGTGACATTTGATGTCATTAAGCGGTTGCCGCCGGGGCACCAGCTCAGAGTTCAGCCTGCTCTCTCGTCGTGTTCAGGTGAGCCGTCGGAGATCGACCAGCGGGACAAGTATGCGGGAGTCTGCGGGCTGTTCGTGCTGCACTTCCACATCTTCCGCTCTGTCGATAAGAAGCTTTATAAATCCCTGCTGGACGTCTGTAAAAAGGTCAGTTCAAACTCTTCTTTTTGTTGTCTGATTGGTCTTCTTGGGCACGGACATCTGATTCAGTTTTTAAGCGCTTCAGAGTCCGGCCACACTGATGTAGTCTTCCTAGTGTGGGTTCATAACTGAAGCACTGTGGAGGTGTGAAAGTCAGGGTAGTGAGGTGGGGGCCACGTGCTCTACAGGTCGTTTTTGCAGCTCAGGAAGTGATTTTGTGGGGACCCGAAGCTCCCGTCTGACTCTTCTGCCTCCCTGCAGGTGCCCGCAGTGACGCTCACTGCCAACATCATCTGGTTCTCCGACTCCTTCCTGCTGAGCAAGGTGCCGGCTGCCGCCAAGCTCCTGGACAAGAAGAGCCTGCAGAGCACCCGGGCCCAGAAGGAGAGCTTCCTGCCGCAGAAGGCACAGACGCTGGCCAGGTGGGACCCCCCTCTCTGCCCTCCCGCCGGCTCTGGCGTTCCCTGCGCAGTGGAGCTCCAGACACCGGGACGGTCTGTGCCAGGGCAGCTCGAGGTGGCCCAGCGCCCTCTTAAGCCTTTCCTTGATTTTGACAGTTAAACCTGTCGAAATAAATAACGTGCAGGCCCCGAATACACATTACTGTATATACACTTCGAGGTCTTTGGCCTTGCGCCGTCCTCGCCGAGCTGGGCGCAGGTTCAGCGAGATTGGTGAGATCTCTGCACCCGACACTGAAATCGCCCTGTCCTGCCCACGGTGCCCTGGGGCTGGTGCGCAGCTCCAGCTCTTTGGTGTGTATGTGTAGTGCGTCCTCCTTACTACAGTCTGTTGTGAGTGTGCTCTCGTGTGGGATGACAGTGGGGTTTGGCAGCAGCTCGCTGTCTGACCAGAAGGCATTACAGGGGGTGATCAGGTCAGCCCAGTCCATCACTGGGGTACAGCTCCCCTCTATTTCAGACATTTTTATAACTCACTGTCTCAGGAAGGCTGGAAGTATCGCTCAGGATACCGGTCATCCTGGTTTCTCCCCCCTTCCCTCTGGTAAGTGTTATACATAAAGGCACGACCCTCCAGATTCAGAGACGGTTTCTTCCCACAAGCTGTCAGATTACTGAACTCTACCCCTGCCACTGGCTCACACTGGTGGTTTTTTTTCTCGCACTGCTTGTCTGACTTTTTTTTTAAAGATGTATGTTATTTAACTTATTGTTGCTGCTGCTGCTCTGTGTTTGTTTTTGGTGATTCCTTTAATGTCTTTGTATTTATTGGAACATACATGCAAATAAGCATTTCATCGCACTTGTGCATATGGCAGGTGAACTGAACTGAGTTCCCTGCTTGAGCTGTCTGTGCTCCTGCTGCAGGGACGTGCAGTCTTACTACGTGTTTGTGACCTCGTGGATGATGAAGATGGAGTCCGTGTTGTCCAAGGAGCAGAGGACCGAGAAATTTGCCGAGGACTTGAACAGCAGGTGCAACGTCTTTGTCCAGGTAAGGAGGAACAGACAGTCAGGAGGCGTCTGGGTAATCAGAAAACGTTAGTTCGTTGGACGATTGAGTAGGTGCAGAAACCAAGCGGGGTCCTGCAGATTCCTCCTTTTCTGAATGCTCTGGAGGGAACACGGACTCTTTTCAGCACCGCGCTCCGGTCGCGGGCAGTCTCTTGTCCTACCGGTGAGGTGCAGTCGGTGCCTGTGCGGGAGTTAAGCACCTGTGCTTCAGATCCAGGTGTCAAGATGTGTAAAACATTTCTTCTGGTGCAGGACAGGTGTTGCCACTAGTGAACTACTGGAACGGGGGGTTTAAAAACAAACGTAGCTGCTCCTTTTCGGGTGCTGATCCCATTGTCGTCCTCCAGGGCATTCTTTACGCCTACAGCATCAGCACCATCATCAGGACCACGATGAACCTGTACATGTCCATGCAGAAGCCCATGACCAGGACGTCGGTGAAGGCTCTGTGCAGACTTATAGAGCTGCTCAAGGTATTTGGCAGTGAGCTCCAGTGAGCTCACACATGCCTGCCCCCCAGTCACAGCTGCCCCTGGACGAGCTGTCTGCCCCCATCACACCCGCCTGCCCCCCAGTCACAGCTGCCCCTGGACGAGCTGTCTGCCCCC